CCAGCACTGCTGAGGCCAGCCCGGTCCATGCTGCAGTGCTGGGAGCAGGAGGAAAAAGCGTCCCTCTCATACTTCATGTGCCACTGGGCTAGCAGGGAGCTCTCGGGCATTTGAGCTGCAAAAGATGAATTGTTCTGCAGGTTAAATCTTTTAAATATCCCACGTCTAGTTTTCTAAGATGTTACTCAGATTTCTGTTCACCTCCCTCCGTGAGCCACTAGGAGATGGGTGCCCAGATCCCAGACTTCCCACTGTTTGGAGGCTCAGCCCAGACCTGGACTTTGCAGCCTCCTCTTCCTTCTTTACAAGATGCTTTTCTAGAAGGCCTGTGTGACACGGGAGTCCATGCCTGGAAACACTTGCTCCTGCATCCCATGGGCACTCCTTGAACTCCTGAAGCTCAGCGTCAGTTTTATGATTCGCTGGCTATTTCCTGTATTTTCTGAACAAACAAAAGGCTCCCATGCTGGGCACAGTTCAAGGTTATAGTGTGGAAACAGGGTGAGCCGTACATCCCAGCGCCCTGTTCGACGTGCTGCACGGCACGGAAATGGTTCCCAGTCCCAGTTACCACCGGGAGGACAGCCTATCCGTAGGGTGTCATCCTTCTCAGTCTGGCAGCCCCTGGTGACAAAAGGCTTCGTGCCCACAAGCTAAAGGACATAGGAAGAGAGGGACACTGCCAGCATTTACACTGTCAGACCAGTGCTTGGCAGCCAAGAGAAGGCCGTTGGGATTGAGCAACAGGGCAGAAAGCAAGGATATAGGGACAGCTTTGGGAAAACAGCTGATGGTGTGACTGAGGTGCAAGCAAGTAGTCACAGAGAGGGGGCAGGACTTGGAACTGGGGGTGAGCCAAAAGCCCCACATTACTTGTCACCGTGATGTGATGGAAAGGCTGGCTCTGAGCACCGCTTTCCGTGGGAGCAGCTTCGGGGGCTTGTGGTGACCAGCTCATGGACAGGCTGTTGTGTGCACATCAGAAGGGAGAAGTGGCCGTGCCTGTCTCCTGGGCCGTCGGATACACACTCTCCAACTGTCACAGTTCAATCTGGCATTGCTCATCTAGCACAGCTTTTCGATTCAGAGTATCTGTAGCCCAGGAGGCGTTTTGGTTCGTCTTTGCCTTGGGAGCGGCGTTGGGTGCAGCTGTGTTAGATGTGAGTGTTGCATAGCTGGCCAGTGAGGAGCAGGCGTGATGAGAATGGAGAGATGGATGTGTTGTCTTCTAGGTGCATTGCTGCAAGAGGTGAACGGTGGGAGGAGAACAATACATGAGCAAAAGGGATAGCCCTGAGCGTCCTGCTACGTGAGCCCTAGGGTCTGTAACGGATCCTTTAGTGAGGACAACCAGGGCACCAGGACCTTGGGCAAAATGCCTCTGCCTGCAGTAGGGTTTCGGTCTGTGTGAACATGCCAGAACCAGGACTGCTGGGTGCTCCTTGGAGCACCCTGGTTATGGGTCTTGGCTGGGCAGACAGAGGCACAAGGGCTGAAGCTCTTTGCTTCAGTCTCTTTAGACTGTAAAATGAAGAGATTCCAGTGGAAAACAAACGCATAGCTTTGTGAGCTGCTGAGTCTTTGGGATTCCATATCCCACTGTGTTTTTACAGAATAACAGTAGACTCCTGAGAGGTTACACTTGCTTTAACGACATCACCACCTCCTCTAGGAAATAAGCGTAAATCCCTGTAATCCTGTCACGCTTGTGCTTAGTGGTAGCTGTAAGCCCTCCCCTGGCATAAGGCCCTTTTCCCTATGGTCTCTCAGCTCATCTGTGTGATTTTGTAGGACGCTGAAGATGGCAGGCAGCTCTGCTCCTTGGATCGGCAGCGCTTATCTCTTCCTCCAGTCCACATGCAAGACTATTGTTCTGCCGTCTCTCTACGAAAGCTCCCAGACGAAACCTAATGTGTTCAAGGCACTGAAGCTGGCTTTAGCAGGTACCCCTCTCTCTGATACCTTGGCACTCTGTCTCATCTCTCCGTGCAGCGCCATGCCTTTCTTTAATCTCACACTTACGGGGAAGGAAAGCTGGTTCTCACTGTGTTTAGGAAAGACAGTAAAGTGGAGCAAGTTCAGCAGAGGTCCACCAAGATGGCTGGGGGCTGGAGCACTGTCCTGTGTGGAGAGGCTGAGGGAGTTGGACCTGTTCAGCCTGGAGAAGAGAAGGCTTTGAGGGACTACCAACAGCCTGCTAATACCTATGGGGAGATGGAGCCACACTCTTCACAGAGGTGCATGGGAATGAGTGACAACAGGCATAAATTGAAACAAGAGGTAGGCACCAGACAGAAGGACAAACATTTTTCCCATGAGGACAGTCAAGCAGTTGTCCAGAGTGACTGTGCATTCCCATCTTTGGGGGTTTTCAAAACAGGACTGGGTAAAGCCTTGAGCAACTTGGTCTGACCTCAGAGCTGTCCCTGCTTTGCATGGGAGGTTGGGCTAGACTTCCTGCGCTTCCTTTCAACTTGAACTCCTGCGAGTTATCCCACCTTCTGAATGTTTGTTTAAACAAACATCTGTGTAAGAGGGGAAAAGATAGCAATTGCTATGAAAGAAGGTTTAATTTCTGTCTTTATACCACCACAGAAACATGATTTCTGCTTTAAGAAGACGATTTTTAAAATAAGTGCTAGCCAGTGTAAGTTCTTTCCTGCAATAACCAAGCACAGTTACACTGGCGGCAGCTGTACACGATCCTATTTACACCAGAAAAGGACCCGAGATGCAAGTGGCCATAAACCTATGCTTCTCCATTCATCCTTGCACCAAGCTGATTGCAGAATAGTAGTAATTTGAAGAGTTTATCATATTTACCTAGAACAACTCTCCTGGTGTTCTTCACCTGTCATGCAGATGAGCCTATGTTGTTTAACTGGGCTTGTGCAACTACACTGTGATTTCTCCTGGCGATCATCAGTCTAGCAAAGTCAGCTGGTTTATCCACTGCAGGCCTGCTCATCTTGCAGCTCGCTCCAAAGATGCGAAGCGGCAGGAAGCCCGACGCAGTTGTCCAGTTAGGCTCGATTTATGGCTGCGTTCTGTCACGGGAATGTGAATCTGCTCACACATTTAAAGGAAAGCCCACAAACCCACTAAATCCTACCATGCTTATTCTGACCTAAAAAGGACACGAAATCTGAAGCTGTCTGAAGTTTTATGAAGAAATGCATGCAAAGGCCTCTCTTTTGGGGTAGCTTTAACAGCTGCCTTGTACACCATTCACAAAGGTTGAGGCATCTGTCCGGCTTTTCCCTCCCCAGCCCTCTTGCCCTGTTACAGAAGCTTTTGTTCATCCACACTTGGGGTTCTCCAGGCACATCTAAATAACACCATGACACGTGGTTTAGAAATACCTGATGTAGTGCCAGTCTGAGCTGGCAGCTCCGTACAGCCCTGGACAACGCAGGCCGAGAGGTTAATTCGGGTCTGGAAACAGTACAGCCAGCCTCCCACAGGCCTCCACTGCAAAAAAGAGAAAAACACATACTTTAAACTGTCATCATCAGCATGTAAAATCCCTGGGGAGACAAGGTCAGAGTGCACAGCTAATCAGAATTAAATTTTGCTGGGAGAAGGAAGAATGAAGGCCTGACCAATTTCTGTTGTCCGTGTTGCTCGTGCTCCCCCTGCACTCATGTTGGAGAGTACATCCCTGGCTCCTCCTTGCTCAGATTTTACCGTGAATTAACTCTCTGTGCAAAAGAGCTTAACAAGTCAAGGCCCAATCTCAAGCAGCCTAATTCCTGGGGCTGGATCTGTCGTTCAGCATTCGTGAGATGTGTTGGAAAGCTCAGAGCCAGCCAAAAGGTACCTCTAGGCATGGGGTGGAAATGAAACGCTGGGTCTCTTTCCAGGGCCTTCATCACTGCGTAAAATCCAGTCGCCGGGACTGAAGTCTGACTGAGCTGGACCGAACACTTTCATCTGTAACACTTTGCTGTCCTGTGGGTTTAGCGTAACCGTTTCTGTCCTGGAAATGGAACCTCAGATGTAAAACTTCCCCTAATAACCAACGTTGGGATAATTACCTGGGCTGTAGTACCATGCGGCTTCAGTTGGACACCGTGCTTCATGTGGACTGAGGGTGGCAGGGCTGCACAAACTTAATCCTTTCCTCTTGGTTTTACGTACAGGTTTTCCGTCCGGGAGGACTTTATCACAGAGAGAAGAGAATTCACAAGCTGCTCCATTGCAGGCTTGGTGGTGGATGGGAGTGGGTCTGGGTTGTCTGTCTCATGCCTGGATAGTGACTCTGCTCACTTCTCCCTGCCAGACTCCACCGGCAGCGTGAATGGTGTGGAGGTGCTCAAAGTGCACTGCAGCCACCCGCACCTGATAGTCCAGCTCAAGTTCTGCAAGCAGGAGAACTGCCGCCGGTTCCTGCGGAGTTACCGGGAAGGAGCGCTGCAGCAGTCCCTCCAGAATCACCTCCAGCTCTCCTTGGCCATGACCACGGTGCCTCTTGAAATGGAGCTGAAGGCTGGCAAGGGGCACCTCGACAGCATGCTGAAGGATGAGGATGGCTGCCTGGAGTGCATCTACAGAGAAAAGGTGCATGGAAGGGGGCAGGAGGGCGGGCAGCAATAGGAAGCAGTAGCACAGGACTCAGGAAGGTGGGTGCAAGTCCTGCTCTGCTGCAGCGTGCTGAGTTGTTGACTTCTCCGTCCTTTAGTTCTCAACTGTGATATAGAGAAACAGCTCTGCCTTTCCTCAGAAAAGAGCCGTGCACTTTTCTGGAAGGGCAATAGAGTTACCTAAAACAGCCCACAGAGACTCTGCTAGATCACTGTGACTTGTGTATATAACAATTAGCGTGGCTGTTACCAGCACTAAGACGAGGAATGATAGAAGGTGCAGTTGAGAGCACAAGCATGTGTACCTCGATACGCCTGTGAGGGAGGTGGAGGACAGCAGTCCTGTGTGGAATGATCACTGCTCAGCACCTTCCTCCCCGCCTTGCACACACCACCTCCTCCGTGAGCAGCAGTGGTAACAGCACCTAGAAACCAGCGTGAGTGCAAACACTGCACATTATACAACAGCTTGTGACGGGTGGGGACGTATCATCTGCTGCCAGTGGGAACAGCCTGCCCTGCTGAAGGCAAAGTCTCTCAGGGGCGGTGTCTAACGTCTAGCTCGTCGCACACTTTGGCACTGGCTGTCTAATCCTGCTAGCAAGAACAGTCATCTCACCACAAAACCAAGGCGCTTGGCAGGATTAAACTCACTGCTTTTCTCCTCTTTTTTTTGCACCAGGAACTAGCAATACCTTATAGCTCTGGTTCCCTGTAGATGGTCCTGAGAAATAGGTAGTCACCATCTACTTAGGAAGATTAGGCACAAGGGCATGTTTTACCAGGTTGCTTTTCTGCAAGCACAGAGAATGAAATGGAAACCTTTCAGCCCTGAACCAGACAGCACGTGATCTCCCATGCTCTGTCACCTTCTGCTTGCTGCTCCCTCCCTCTGCTGAACTAGCTGACTGGACAGAAGAGTTGGGCTTGTTCTCAGTTCCCCAAAACTGACTCAGTCTGACCTCTGCCTAACAGTGCAACAGCCGGAAAGATGACACAGTGGCACAGCCGTCACTGGCTGAGGCAGAGCTGGCCACCAACCTGCTGCATGTGAGCTAAACGCCAGGCTGAGGCAGAGCACTCGCCAGGTTTGCCTCTTCCCACCTGCTCTGCCTTCTTGACTCCTTTTCTCATGACCTGCTTTTTGGAGGTCAGACTAGTTTTCTCGTGGTTAGTGAGAAATCCTGGCTCGGAAGGGATCCAGGAACAAGAAAACTTAGGTAATGGAAGGGCAGAGAGAGAGAAGGGGAATAGCAGGAGCTGCCTGCTTTGTTGGCCTTGAGCTGTTGGATCAGGTCACCCTGTTCTGTGAGTCTGACCCTCACATGGAGTAAGTCAGAGAAGCCACGCTGCCTATCCCGCACCCTAATCCTTGCAGGGGGCTGCTGAAAATAAACATGGGCTAGTTGCAGTTTTCTGCAAACCGTAAGCACTCGCTGCTGCATGTGAGAAACCCAGGGGTGAAGATTGCCTATTTCATATCACATTACAGACTCAAACTCACAGATTTACAACCAGAACTCCATTAGACTCTCTCATCTGATCAGTTTACAGCTCAGGCTATAGGTCTCACTGCTCCTCTCCTGACCCCATCATCCTAAGCTGTACCTTCCAGCTAAGCCCCGACAGCTTTGTGGGACAGCGAATGTGGGACGAATCACTGACGCTGTTTGCGTTACAGCCTGACCGACTGCGGGATGAGGAAATCGCAGAGCTGGAGGAATGCCTCAAGAGCCTCCTTGTTCACCAGAGCATCAACAACAATACAGCTGTAAAAGACTGTGCGTCTCTGACCTCCTCATCTCTACCTTACCCATCGCAAGGCAGCTCCCTTTCCTCACAAGTCACCTTCCTCTTTCAGGGACAAGAGTTCGGTGAGTAGCTACAACTGACCAGGAGCCCTTGGTCTTCCTCGCCTCAAAGCCCAAGAGGGAGGATTAATGTGACTACATATTGGGGTCCACCTCAGATAATCAAGGATTTCCCAGCATTCCATAAGGAAGGAATGACAATAGTCCTAAGATATTGCCATACTGCTTCAGATCAGGCCTGAACCTGTTTTGTTTTCTGAGGTGGCACAGAACCAAATGCTTCAGAGTCTGTGTCCCTTCCAGGTTCCTCACATTTTAGAATTCCTTAATACTGAAAAGAAGAATAGAGAGTAGTTTTCCTCCACATCATTTGGTTGAGGTGAGTTAATAGCACAGGTTGGATCGGGCTGGGAAAGTTACTATGGACGCTATCAGCCCTGCTTTCAGCCAGGACTGATTTACCCAGGCTCCAGCCATAACTGTCTCCCTCTGGGGTCTGCTCCCCGCCAGAGAGCTTAGTCTCACGTAGCAATTTTAGCTTGAGGTCAGGTAGATCATCTGTGAGCACGCTGAAGCCGTGTATACAGTCTCCAGTGCTAAACAGCCTAGGGGAGAGCTCCCGTTTGCGTTTCAGTGTTTTGAGGATGCTTAGGTGGGGAGCAGGGGGTTTGGTGAGAAAGGCCTTGCCGTGTTGCTTGTGAAAGGCTGAAACAACTGAAGAGGATGTCTGTTGGAAAAAAAAGAAGAGAACAAACCGCAGGACAGTTCTATCCCGGGGGAGAAAAAAAAAAGAAGGGGAAATAGGCACTGCCAAGCTTGCAGGGTGGGGGCAAGCCCAGATACTTGGATGCTGTGGGAGGACTTCAGTAGGGGAACAGCCCGAGTGTGCCAGGGCACACGGCTGTGACTGGCAAGCGTCACCACGTGCTACAGTTTGCCACCCAAGGCACCAGCGCTGCCACGGGGGATGGCAGGCTACATGGAAAGCAGATGTGTCCAGCTGATACTCAGAGCAGGGAGACACTAAGGGGTGATATTCCCTTCCCAGAGGTGGATGAGTGCTGTCGGAGCCATGTGGACGACCCTCTGCCCGTGGCGGGGCAGTCCCTTTAGCGTCACTGCTCTTGCAGTTCTGCTCCGAGCTCACAGTGCGGCCTGGGTGCAGGACAAGCGGCGCAGCTCTGCAGCGGTTTAATAACGTGCTGCGGACACTGAACGGGCTCCCCGCTCCCCAGAATATGGAGCAGTCCTTGGACTGGCCCAAGCTGCATCCCGTCAGCCGTGAAACCTCTGTTTTACCTGCCCTCTGTCCCTTTCAGCCAACAGAACGCTCACGCCTGATGACCACCAGAAATTTGCCAAGCTCGTGTCCAAGAAATGGAAGCAAGTGGGTCGCTCTTTGCAGAAGAGCTGCCGGGCCCTGCGTGATCCTGTCATCGACAACCTGGCACTCGAGTATGACCGGGAGGGACTGTACGAACAAGCCTATCAGCTGCTTCTCAGGTTTATCCAGTCGGAGGGGAAGAAGGCCACGATAGCACGCCTGATCGCAGCCCTGGAAGAAAACGGTCTCCTCAGCTTGGCTGAGGAGCTCTTGGGCCTCCATGCCAACGAGGACTGCTCCTAGAGCCCAGAGGGTAGGGGCATTGCTAAGGGCTTTCTTGCTTCAGCTAGTGTATGAGACTGCTGCCAACGTCTGGGAATGTAGTCCTGAAAATCACCGCAGGTTTCCGTGGAGGTGGGAATGCCCGGGGGAGAGGGTCTGTGCGCGCGGAAGCCAGCACAGACCCCTGACGTCCCTTAATCCACTCTGTTTCCAGAAGTCAACGTTACCTTCCCGTGAAGTCGTGAGCGGACTTCCTCGGGACTGAAATGTCACAGGGAAGCAGCCAGACAGTTAGAGAGCCCTAAGGGAGGGTGGGGGAGAGGATCAAAGCAAGGAAGGCATCTCACAGAAATTCTCTGGGAAGCAGACAATGCCACTGTTTCTCAGGCTGGGGCCTAGGGCCGTCACGTGGAGACCTGCAGTGTATTTTTTATATTGAAGACATTTATGCCCGCAGGCATGACATCAAGCAAAGAGAGGGGAAATTAAGGAAAAGTCAATTTTATATTATTTTTCTTCTTCGTTCTTCAAATGAAGAACATTTGTGGCAAGTGCATCTGTCCTGCCCTACTCGAGTGTAGCTCCTTCCCACCTCTTGCCACCTGAAGGTTCCCCTTTTACCCGGGACAGTCGTAACCTTCCACAGGGCACAAGGTTGCTGCTGTAGAACGAATTTCAGGCACTGAACAAGCAATATGGACAAACACAAGTTCAGAGGATGATTCCCAACTTTTTCTGGACTGTGGTGGACAATAATAACTACATCAGGCATAGCTCGCTCCCACCAGCCTGAGGGAGCCTGCGTCTGTGAGCAGCACAGTGCTGGAAGGAAAAGAGTCTGCTAGTCAGCAAGCTACCGGTGGAGCGTAGATGGGAACTGCTGCTCCGAGGTGCACGAAATGCCATCCTGAGCCCAGCCTGAGTAATCACTCGGACCAGCTGGGTGCTAGTGCCTGCACTCACGTCTACACCCCCTGCCCTCAGCCCGCTGAGCTCACCGGAGCGGACAGCTCAAGCCATCGTCTCTCACAAGACTTGGGATTTGCCTTTCCCTGGTGATGCTGGGCATCAGCTGCTGTGCCTGGATTTACCTGCCCTGATTTTGAGGGTTAAAAATGGCTTAAAAAGACAAAGCACTCAAACCCCAGGGCTGACTGGTGCTTTTAGTTCCAGCAGGAGAAGCTGACTCTCTCCTGGTATGGCTGATGCCGATGGCAACAGGCGGAGTTTACACCTTCCCCCCCGACAAAGCAACACATATCTAGTGTGACACCGGTCCTGTGAAGCACAACAGCTTGATTAACTTTGACGGATTCCATAACTTTCCCGATATGTCTTTACTTAGCCTTTTTCTTGAATTCTATCCCTCTTTGCCCTTCCCATCGGTGGGAATAGCCAGTGGGTTTTGGAAATTGTCTCCTATGTAGAGGGTGGCTTGGCCAGCACACATGAAGCCTGTGTGTGCACGCAGTATTGGCAGCCACAGTAGGACCAGCTTTCAGAGAGGCAAGCCCTGACGGCCTTTTAAACCACATCTAAATCCTTCCTGGAGACAACGCTGTAATTCGGTGTGGAGGGAGGCAGCGTGGGATTCAGGTGTGGGCTCAGATCTGAGCTCCTGGTGCTGCTCCCATGCTAAAATGCATGTTGCGAGCATCAGCTAACTGAAGGCCCAGACTGGGAGGATTAAGATGGCCAGTTTCTACCCAGTCGGGGTCTGCAAGCCTCAGAGGAGCGGAGCACCGCGCTCCTCAGCGTAAGCCTGAGTAACTTGGCATTTTCCTGCAGATTTTGAATCCCCAAGGTTATGTACACAGTGTGGAACAGAAATGGAGGGGGTCGGAGATGGGGAGAATGTTTTCAGGGTGTGAATCTGTTTCTGTCTTGCTTCAAAAGGAAGCAGGGCTTCACGCAGGCACCATCTCTACAAAGAGTGTGGTTCCATGGCATTTTATTAAGCCATTCCACATCAGTGCTGCTGCATTCTCATCTCACCAGTTCCCACTCCACGTCCTATCCTTTCCCTTAAAGTAGTACCTGTGCTCTTCCCAAAAGGAAGCAATCACCTCTCTGACAGTCATGCTTTTGGGACCAGCACCGTGATGCTGATGTTAGTTAGTTTAGACTGCTCTGGAACCGTATCTCAGAGCATTTAGCTTTCCTGCCAGATCCCAACTGGGGAACTCTTGTTTGGCAGCAGCCCACTTACTTGGCAAATGATATTTTTAAAAAAATCAGAAACTTGAAAATTACTTTAACAGCAAGAGAGTTTGCTCTTGATTTTGCAAAAATTATTTTTTTAGAAAACAAGGTTATATGCATAGCCTGCTGTCTCATTTGTAATCAACTTTTCTAAGCACTCAGACTAGCTATTCACACGCATGATTTTTATATACAGTGACAAGGCAGCCGCTGAGTAGCAAGAACCACTAGCTTTCACAGCCTCTGTCAGTGCTCATAATGAGAAAGGTTTATCATTCAGCATCTTCTTAAGTCCAAAGAACTTCTCTGCTATTACTCTATTACAGGGGACTAGGCATGAATGATTTTTTTCTTCATGCAAACCTTGTGCATTTTATTCCTCTGCCAGCAATTGGCATATGTGTTTCTTCTTACTCACAGATTCCCTCTCAAAAGGGCCATTAAGTGCTGGAGCACCTGGCAACCTTTCTGGAATATCGTCCTCTTTAACAGCATTAACAGCGTTCAGCCTTCAATACAGAGACTCGAAGGAATAGGGTTTTCCAGTGATATTCCATGGTGGAAGTGCCTTGAGCACATGGCATGGTTTGGGACCATAGCAGTGGCCGTTTCGTACCTTCTTTTCCACGATCAGTCAGCAGCTGCCACCATACGTTAGGTGCAACGTGAACTCGACTGTCTGCTGAAAGAGGAGGGTTTGTAGTATCATCTGGCACAAGCAGAGATAGAGGCAATTTTCACAGAAGCCTTAGAACGAAGTAGATCAATTGGATCACGGTCATTTGCCTTGATTTGGCCATTGGCTAAGGCTTGACTCTGAATTTACTTCTGTTTTACCCAAAAGATTTCACAGCAGTTTTACACCAGTGTGTGAAGACAAGGGAACTCGCATCACGCTGGGAAGGAAGAAGCACTCACAAGGATTTGTTGAAGAAGTCAGAGGCGTGTCTTCACGTCAGACAGTAAAGAAGTAATGAAGAAGGAGCTCAGAGCTGGGGACACTTGCTGATACACCAGAAACTCAGCACACTGTGCTGGGCCAAGGGCTATCATAAGCACCCCGGGTGACTGCCTGGCTGCCGAGCTGCTGGACGTGGAGCACACTCGTGCAGACTGCATCCCCTGTTGTGCTTTCTTCCTTGCCCGTGCAAAGTTAGCTGCGCACATCCTGCACCTACTCAGATGCCAGACATGCAAGCGACGCTCCCTTCTGCTGTTTATACCTATTAGCTAATGTCTGGTGTGTAGATAAGCCATGGGCAGTGCTGCTGGTGGGGAATTTGGCTTTGTCCTGTAACAGATCTTCTCTATATATTGAGATATGCCTGAATCTCAATATATAGTGTTTTGGGGTGGGGATGTCTCAGAATCAAACATGCAGCTAGCCAGCAGAGGGTATTAAAAGCAAAGAAAGATACTAATCAGTCACATATAAAAAAAGAAATAGACAAAATATAAAACAAACAGCAAAACCCAAGCCAAAACACGCTTACAGGAAGGGATCCAAGAGGTCTTTTTTGTGGTGCAGATTGTTTTTGTAGTTTTAGCAATGTTTCAGATTTGAAAGAGGCTCCTTTCAGTCTGCCAGAAAGAATAAAAGATCCATCCAAAGGAGCATTTGAATGATTTGTTTTGGCGTAGCTGAGCTGTTCAAACGGGTAACAAAGAGGAGAGTGAAAGTTAAAATTCTCACCAGATACACTTTGACGTGAGGCATCTGACAGCAGGAAACCTGAGAGTATTCCCTGATATAAAATTGTCACAAAGGAAAATATCAAACTGTCCTGGAGGGCAGAGTCAGCGAAAGGCCAGCGCCGACCCTCTCAGATGGTTGTGTACACCATCGATTAATTCATCTGCTGAAGATGAGGATGCACTGTCGTGGTCGGTAGGGAAGATGCTCTCTTCCAGCAGCTTCAGTTCTCACATGCCACAGCTGCTTAGAGTGGACCAGTTTGTAAGGTGAAAATACTGCTTGACTCAAAATTAAGGAAAGGGTTCAGCGTTATTGATCGGAAACACATAAAAATGATGAGCCGGGCCTTAAGGAAATCATAAAATCTTCCAGATTTTCATAGCAGGTCAAATTAAAAATGAATGTCAGCAGCTCACAGCAGTGCCTTCCACTTTCAGCTTCAGCCCTACCACTGAAGAGACGGGTATCTGGATCATTTTTAATGCAAAGCAGGGTGCTAATGTCACAGCACTGCAGGTGACAGCGTTATGAAAAAACAAGAGCCTCCAAGTGCAACAGTTTGCACTTGGAGTTTCATAGCTGGGAAGTCTCAGAACCGCATCTGTTTCAATATCTGAAGGCAAGCTGAGGCAGAAAACAGAATATTCTTTGGACCACTGTCAAGATACGGAAAACACAAGGCCAAAAACACGTTCGAGCTGAGGGAAACTGCTTGCTCAGAGAAGGCATAGGTGCTTGCTGCAGCCACTGTGCCAGACAAAGGTCTTTTCCCAGCGTGAGGAAATTGCGGTGGGTTTCCTTACCTGCTAATTGTGCCATTCATTTCAAAATCCGCTTCGGCATTGAGGAGCCATCCTGCTGCCTAGGGCACCGTCCCACCTCCTTCTCCCAGGCTTCCCAAGGTACCTTGGAGCCCCCTCCGAGTGCCACTCCGGCAGCTGCCCACAGACTGAAACCAAAAGTGAGCACGTGAGGAGCCTCAAATGCACTTAAACTGCTGATTTAGTTTAACTGAAAATTCTGGTACAGCCATGAACCCCTGGTCCTGCACACCTTAACCCGAGGAGGTACTGGAAGGGAGTCGAAGGTTTCTTCAGTATAACACACAAACTGGGCTGTGTAC